CCACAACAGTCCTTTCTGAAAGTCTAAAGTGCCGCAAAGATCCAACCAAGACAGTATGGAGGTTCACAGCGGACACTGAATGCTCCCAAGCGAGAAACCCATGCTGGGAAAAGCTTGGGGAACTCTGCACTTAGCACAGTCCCCGCCCTAGCCAGAACTCCCACACATGAACGGTTTGCTGCCAGCCACAAAGATGGCAAAGCTTCAGCACCAGAAAGGGAAGCGGGCTTGTGCGAGGACGCGTGGTGTGGCCGAGCTGAACAAACAATGTCACGTCCTAGAACAATCAAAGACTTCAAGCACTGAAGGGTTCCAACTGCCCCAGTGTCATGGCTTCAAGAACCAAGAACACGCAAGTCTTGAAACTTCGACTGGTGGGCCGTGCTGTGGCTTACAATCTGACAGCCCTCTTGGAGGAAGCCTGGCATTTGTAACTGCCGGCGCCAATGAAGACTTACGACCGTACACAAATACTGAGACTAGGACCTCTTGACTTGATAGAATCCTACACCATGCATCCCAAAAGTCACGCACCAAAGCTTGGTTTTGGGTCTTAGGCCTGTAGGGTTTGCAGCGCACCTCTGGAGGAAGCTTTGCTGAGGCTATGGCGCGCTCCTCGTAGGACTCTTGGGGGACGACATCGAGCAGCTGTTGCCTTACGGAGACATGCTCGCCGCAAAGCTGCTCCAAAAATCAATACAACACCTGTTCAAGCGGACAGCCCTATCGCAGCACCAGTTTTGGGGTTTGATGATAGTCTGGGGCAGAGTAGGTAATTGTGGCAAGCTTTTGGGATCTGGGGTTCAGGCTTGGGCAATTGTGGTGGGAGAGTAATAATCCTAGTCCCGTGCACTCTAGGAACCTGAGTTAAAATGAGCATTGGTTGCGGAATTGAAGAACACGTTACTAAAACTGTCTTCCTGTCTGTCGTGGTTGGGGTACAGCAGCAGCAATAGTCCTGCATGTGGGCGCAAGCTGTGTCGACCATGACCATACTCAGCAGCTACATTTCAAGAACACACTATGTGTTTAAATACGCCTTCTGCCCAGAACATTTAACATGACCGAGGCCGCTATGGAAAAAGGAAAACTTGCGCTGAGGTTCAAGGGAATATACGGCTTAAAAGCAGCCGGACAATCGATGACGATGTAGTATACAGGCATTCTGCCTGAGTTACTCCCTATAATGGCAAAAAATGGCATTCCTTCGGGCGGCTCACGCTGCGGGGGGGGGGGGGGGGGTNNGGACTCCTAGGCCGCCCATGATGCCTAGCCCCATGTACGAGGGTGCAATATTGCACAACACAAAGTCGCTGTAGAAACAGTCTGGTAGAAAAGCATCGGTGAAATTCTTATCTCCATCCCTATTTTCGTAATGACGAAAGCGACTATACCCGACCGCTCCACACCTCACTAAACGCCCGAACGAACCAGGGGGTTGGTTGAGCTTGAGGGGTGGAACCTTCTGTAATATCATCGCCTGGGCTCAAATTAAAAAATCCAAAACGCCCTACACCTAGCAAACTTGAACGGCAAACCCTAAACACAGCGGTCACAGAACATCTGGTGGCTCTGGGGGTCAGACGCCAGGTAACGGACGTTTCCGTAGTCGCCGGCGACCGCTGCTGAACTTGGGAGCAGCGAGAGCTCTACGATCTTTTCCTGAACCTGAGATTTGAGAGCTTGGGGTTTTCATTTGAAGGCATTGGGTTTGGAGCTTACAGGGCTTAAGGTTTTGGAGTTCCAGGTTCAGCTTCTGGGTTCTGCCGGGAACCCAGCGAGGAATACATGGAGACTATACAGGTGCGTAGGAGAATCACGTGACGGGGTGTAAAAGGAGGGAATGATCTGATTGGGACAGGACGCGCAAGGATTTGTATGTTCACTCCTTCCTCAATCATAGAAACTCGGCATCCCACAAACGGATCAAGCACAAGCCGACAGGTCCAGGTTGGAGGGGCTGGAGCTGGGATATGCCGGGACCATACAAGGATGTTGTGGGACGGCCTCTAAGATTTTGCCGTGACGGTGGTCACAGACTTGAATTAAAGTCTCATGGTGCCAACAGTGGCAGTCATAGGGCCGGAGACTCATAGCCCCCAAGCCTGAAATCCATAACCTTTTACGCCTAAAACTTCAGCTCTATACACCCTAAACTCGGCCAAAGCAGCCGCACCGTCCATGTCGCCCTCCACACGCATGTCTGGCACATACATGCAAGACCTGAGGGTTTAGGGTTTGTACAGGTTCATGCTGAGGGTGTTGAGGGCCTGGTGGATAACAACTTCGAGATTACGGCATGAGTAGGGTTGAAGGGTTCAAGTTGAAAGAAATGGTTTCGGGCTATGTGGTTCTTGGTCCCTTGACAATCTTGAGCATATACAGTGACAGATTGTGAGGGGATGATGGAGCATTGAGCAGGGCGATGATGAGAAACTCTGACACAAAGCAGACGACGCGACTGCGGGCTGGATATGACATCAAGTAGGAAGGAGCTACGGATTCGTGTGGCGAAGTGGTAGAAACAGTGGGAGCTTCTTGCTCAAAACTCCAGGCTGCCACCTCGTAAGCGGTATTTGGGGGATGAGGACCCAACAAGGCTTGTACAGGCCTACACGCGTACGTTCCAGGGGTGAATAGGTAGAGTTTGCATCCGGTTTGCAAAAGATGTGTTGAAGGCACTTTAGTGAGACGGCTTGTCACCTCGATGGACATCGAGGGATCCTTCTCTCGAAGGTGCATTCATGTCCGGACTCTTGCTCAGAAGCTCAAAAGAAGAACTACAACTGCCAAAAGCTGAACCATAAACCCTCAACCGTGTTGCCTTTGCTGCATGGGTAACTTTCAGAATCTATCAGGTCGCCTGGCATGTTGCTATGCGGTGTATTGCCAGGGCAAGTCTTCCAAATTTCCGAGGTTCACGATGTTCTCCCGACGACGCCCCGGAGATATCCATGTATGTACTGGGGTTTGCCAGTCTATACATAGCCGTACGATGCCCGTAAAGTCCAAGGAGTATCCGAATAAAATGCCTGTGGTATCTTATTGTAGACCCTGAATCCGAGACCCGGCTCGGATACAGGTCTCTGCCCTACCACCTGACCAGTAAACCGTGAGCCGCGCATTCCGCTTCCCTCGGCAGCCACCATTTCGCGAAGCACCGCCATGACAGCCTCGCTGCCTCAGTGCGGGTTCGCCAAACAATTTAGCTGGCCACAGATCTTTCAGCTTGGTGGAATTTCATGGCTACGATCAAGTAATTAGCCAACATCATAGTAACGGTGTTTAGGTGTTAGTTTGGATGTTAGCGCTTGGAGTTGTCGGGTTGCGATTGCAAAAAGGTATGGCGACGCGATAAGAGCACGCAGCCAAGATAAACAAATGTTCTGAAGTTCTGACTACCGTGAAGCTGGCTCAGCTATCAACTTCATCTACAGTTCCCGAACTAAACCGTCTTGGGGCAATTTTCGATGCCAACCACCATCTAGGGATCAGGTCCAACAAGGTCACTCTCATTCGCCCGGCCCTCAGTCAGTCATAGGCACATTAGATAGGGATTCGTATTGTACTCTTGCAGCTACCGGTCCTGACACGATTAAATTGACTGTCTTGTGATTTCTGAACTGTGTTGCTCCTATCTTGCTACCACCTGTTAGCACTGCTCTCACACCCTGGCAGAGCTTCGCTTAACCAATTGGAGGTGATGAGCTAGCTATCAGTGCGGCTGACATAGATAATTATAGCTAGCGCAAGCCCAATTCTGACTAACCTGCTGGCAAGCCATGGGTGAAATTTGAAGAAATAACACGCAACCGAGTCATTCATAAACTGGAACCAAAACAGCGACCGCCTCATTATCCCAACAGCTCCCTAACCATCCGTTTCTGGTGTACGGTACTGCATTGCATTGACAGGAATGTTGTTAGGGGCATAGGTGTCTATATCTCAACGTCATCCTCATACGACTCTGACCACAAGGTGCAAGTTTGCAAACAAGATGAAGCCACGTTCGCAGATCTAATAGGTCTAATCCGCAATCCCAGAACACATGCAACCATACTTGTCATAGTACCATGGCTAATAATAAAAGGAGTAATGACAATAATAGCAAGCTACTACTACGGATAAGAAAACCTGAATGAACCTGCATTTTCTGTAAATGAAGCTGGGGCCCAGACGGTCAGCAAGCTTGTTGTGAGCGACCACCATAAACAGCACCTGCACTGCAACTTCCAATCATGTGTGCGACTTTGTTTGACCGCGCAAAGCCAAACAAAGATCCAAGCCTTCGTGAGCAGAAGGTACAGTTCAGTTGCATGCTGCATGACAAGCCCAGGCACACTGTGCCTCTTTCCTTCCACCCAAAGGCTAGAACACGTTGAGTTTGCCTTCATGGGGCCCATTACATTAGCACCCTGTCAACATGAGGCAAGGTTGCATCCACACACCTTGCGACTGGTGAGAACCCCCACAACACTTCTGTAAGTCGTGTGTCTCCAACTCAATGTAGGGATGTTGGAATCCCGCCATCACTAGTATCCAGCAGCTCACAGTCTATCCCTCACAGCAAAAAAGCTAAACCATGAACCAGTGACATCCCAGCCAGTCAAGAAGGGAAAGCAACAGGATTGCGGGCGTCGCTTTTTTCTTTAAAACCCGGTTTCCTGAACCCTGATCCGCACTTCTCGCAAATGGCCTTCTCCAAAGAGTCCTTGCCCTCGTTGATGAGGTCCAGGAGGAGCTTATCCTGGCTCTCCTATTCATCCTAGTTAGCTATCAATCCTCTACACTGTGGTTACAACATCTGTAAGGACAGTCGTTTCCTTTTCACCCGCCTAACTTCACAACCAGGAGCTAGGAAGGGTGAAGTTACCCTGTGATTGAGGGATAGGTAGAAGGTCAGGTGCTGGGTAGCCGTCGGGGATTTGGCAGCACAGGGTAGTTTAGGGAATGATTGCATGAGAATATGGTCATCAATGGCCAGCTTTGCTGGCAGAATCTTTGCTCTTGCGTGCGTGCGCATAACAGTATAGGTAGCAGGCAAAGCTTCTGCTTGATGAGCCATGTGGCTTCAGGCAGTGTAGGAACTATGCAGCTTCCAAATTGGCTGTAAGAGCGCTGAGGGTACCGCTGGGCGCGACGCTCGGAAACTTCAGGAGCAGCTACATGGTGACTTGCAGGGCTTCCTAATTAGGGTTCTTCTGCACTGTGGACCGTGTCATGTTATTGAAACTGATGATTTGATTTTGCCTCACTGGCATGGGAGGCCCAGTGAGCGCAAGTTAGTGACCAAGGAAGGCCTGCAGAGTGTTTGAGAAGTGAAGTGAGGTTAGGAACGCAGAGCACCTACTGTACATGCTTGAACACATTCAGCTGGGGCAACTCTAGATTATGGAAACACTGAACCCATGAATCGAGGGTTTAAGGGCTGTGCAGCATGGACATGACGCACATGTCATTTGTTCTTGCTTGGTGCGGAGCGGGGCCTAGGGCATAGCCGGCTTAGGTATGAGGTAAATACGGGAGACTGATTCTGATGTCCATGTATCACTATATCATATACATACACACCCTGGATACCGCGTTTGCGGGGGAGGTCAACGAGACCAACTGCCAGAACACTCACTGGAGCTGTTCAATTCTGAATT